TCTCATTCTGTCACCCAGGCTGGACTGCAGTGGTGCCAGCTAATTTTTGTATATTTAGAAGAAACAGGGCTTCACCATGTTGGCCAGGCTGGCCTCGAACTCCTGACCTCAAGTGATCTGCCTGCCTTGGCCTCCTCCCAAAGTGCTGAAATTTCAGTCTTGAGCCACTGTGCCCGGCCTTAAAAATAATTTTCTATTCCCGTTTTTCTCTTCTCTCACTAGACTGTAAACTTCTGGAGAACAGGAACTCTCTCTCTCTCTCTCTCTGTTTTGGCATATCTGCAGAGTGCAGTATGCTGCCTGGAACCTAGTAGGTGCTCAACAATACTATATTTAACTCTAACCTCTAAACTTAGCTGCCTGGTTCACAGGTATATGCTCAGCACCCAAAACAGTGCCTGACACAATGAACAGGAATGAATACATGAATGCCAGTGCAAGGCCCATGTGCCAGACCCATCCTCAGTATTGGGGAACATGAGCTTTTCCTCTAGTAGGTTAAAGGGATTAAATTATTGTTGTATATTTTATTCATTGTGAGGCTCCACAGGCAGTGAGTGTGGAAGGGATAACCATAGAGCCATGTGAGACCAAATGCCCCCAGGTGATCCAGATCTAGTGCTACAAACCATTAAATAAAAGATTATACAGTCAACAACCCATGGCAGGCATTAGCAGTCTAAGGCATTCTTACTTAGTACATAGTACGTTCAAATTTTAGTCATAGCCTGGGTTTATTGTCATAGCTCAACTGTCATTGTCATTGTCACTCCTAACACATCTGTTAGTAGCAAACAGATACCATAAAAATCTTATGATCACCACTCCAGATGTCCCCTGCCCAACCATAAAATCATGTACACCTTTCTTTACATCTGTTTCGCAAGTGAAAGTTAATTCTCCATTCCAGTTTATACCTTGATATAGACAAGCATTTGACCTCATCTTCTACAGGTTGAGTCTTCAGCACACACAGATGTGTATGTGCATTCATGCACACATATACCTACATGTGTTCACATGCATGCACAAGCATGCACACACATACACACACCAGTGTGGCTCCCTAAAGACAATAGGTCAACAAACAATCCCTTGAAAAACCAACCACATCTTAAAGACTACTGAACTAGGCCGGGTGCAGTGGCTTATGCTTGTAATCCCAGCACTTTGGAAGGCCAAGGTGGGCAGATCATTTGAGATCAGGAGTTCAAGACCAGCCTGACCAACATGGTGAAACCCTGTCTATACTAAAAATACAAAAATTAGCCAGGTGTGATAGTACACGCCTGTAGTCCCATATACTTAGGAGGCTGAGACACGAGAATCACTTGAACTCATGAGGCAGAGGTTGCAATGCCCAAGATTGCACCACTGCACTCCAACCTCGGCGACAGGGACTCCGTCTTAATAATAATAATAATTACTCTGGAGTGGATCCATGTAAAATAGAGATAGTGAGAAAGTTCTGGACACCCTGAGGAAAGGAACTCACTATTATCCGATGCCTGCTTTGTGCAGGATGCTTTTTAATGGGTATCTCACTCATTCTTATAACAGTCCTGGGAACTAGGTATTACTAGAGCCATTTTCTAGATTTCAAAAAGGAAACCTGAGGAGTTTAAGTTTTGTTCCAAGTCACACAGCTAGCAAGGAGCAGAACTGGGATTCGAATCTAGTTGTCTTTGGCCGGCAAGTCCACTCATTGGCATATTAGGGCGTGGCTTCAGTAAGGAGATGAACATGTAATTATTGAAATATTAAAAGTCCTTTAACAAAAAGAATGAGTGATTTGGGGAAACGATTATCTGGACAATCGGACCAGAGTATCTGGTGGCTCTATACAGGAGGCGCAGTTAAGAAACGGCAATTGGGCCGGGTGCGGTGGCTCAAGCCTGTAATCCCAGCACTACGGGAGGCCGAGGCGGGTGGATCACGAGGTCAAGAGATCGAGACCATCCTGGTCAACATGGTGAAACCCCGTCTCTACTAAAAATACAAAAAATTAGCTGGGCACGGTGGCGCGTGCCTGTAATCCCAGCTACTCAGGAGGCTGAGGCAGAAGAATTGCCGGAACCCAGTAGGCGGAGGTTGCGGTGAGTGGAGCTGGCGCCATTGCACTCCAGCCTGGGTAACAAGAGCGAAACTCTTGTCTCAAAAAAAAAAAAAGAAAAAGAAAAAGAAATGGCAATTAGGCCTGTGTAGCTGAACAAAGGAAATGGTAAGGGAAAAGAACACGGGTCACCGGGACAACTTCCCGAGGTTTCCTGACTTCTTTCAGAAGTTATTATTCTGGACCAAATCTGCCATCTTCTCCTCCATGAACAATCTGAGTTTGCAATTTTGTCTGTGGCCAGCCAAGGAGATTGTGTCACCCTCTCTTTACTGTCAGCTCAGATATGTTGATTTGTCATCACTGCCTCTCACTCATTAACCCCACTGCGAAGAACTCGCGCCCATCAAAGCAGCATTACCAATATTTACGTCAGTTTTCAACATTGATTTATCAGTATGGAGGAGCGGCAATGCTGTTTTGGAATGTTTTTACGTTAGCAGCCAGGGAATTTCTGTAATTGCTTATTTTGCCTGTGGTTGAAGATACCGCCCTATTTTTCCAGTCAAACAGTAAACACTTCTTTGACTCCTTGGACTTCCTGAATAGGAAGATAAATAAGAACGTCTCTTACAAATTTCATTTTAAGGAACTGTGTTTTTCAGTTCATTGAAGCGCTGTGTAATACATCCGAAGCAGAACAAGATGTGATAGGAGAATGATCATCTGCCTGACTTACTTCTGTTCCAACCCCATCCCCATCCCAGAGGTTGGACTGACTCGGGCTACTTTCCAGGGGTACAGACTGGGTGGGGGTGAGGCCTGCAGTAGCCTGACTCATCTCTGCATCTTTTCTTGGTTCTCTCTCCTCGTGGACTCTGAGCTCCTTGTAGCCTTAGCATCTACCATAGTGCCCAGTACATAGTAAGACTGTGGTTTGTTTTCTAAGTTAATGATTCAATAAATGGTCCCCAAATGAGGATATCATCTACTGTGTTCATCAATGAAAGAACCTAATAAGACAGTTAATTTAGGGCAGGCTGTTATAGGAATAAGGTAAATTTTGATCAAGGGGAGATGAAGGAGAATTGCGTTTAGACAAATGACTACCCCTGATTCTCATCCTCATCTTCAGTGTTGCAATTCTATCCCCATATATCAATGTCTTTGTGCAGTTCAAAGTAGGACCAGCAGTTACACCCCCTCCAAAGAGCCTGACCTTCCTGACTTAGCTTCTTCTCTTTATTTTCCCATTGATGATCTGCATCCACACGCTGCCCTAATCTCAGCTGATGCTGACAGAGTCATGACTTGCTAGAAGAGGACAAGGCCCCCACAGGCTGGATTCAGGGATGTGAGAGGACTCCATGGGGCTGGTAGTGTGATGCTTCCATCCAAGCAGTAGGCAGGTGAGGGAGTAGGAGTCTCTCATGATCCATCATGTAACTGAAGATGGGGTGAGAAATGGGATTGAAACAAACCACCCACGTGACCCCATGGGTGCTCGCTCACTTTCTTCCAGACAGACAGGAAAAGATGGTATCAGGACAATGAGCTAGCAAGCCCCATGGCCCTGTGAAAGTCAGTGTGGCTGGGACAGCTGTGTCAAGGAGTCCTCAATGAGAAAAAAAAAATAGTGTTAGCCTTGAGGACTTTGCCACTCATTATAGAGCTCTGGGTAAATTAAAAAAAAAAAAATAGTCGAAGTTTGTTTTCTGGACCACAGGCAAGCAACTGATCAAGAAGAAAAGTGGGGCCGGGAGTGGTGGCTCATGCCTATAATCCCAGTACTTTGGGAGGCTGAGGCCGGAGGATTGCAAGTTCAGGAGATCAAGACCAGCCTGGCCAACATGATGAAACACCATTTTTACTAAAAATATAAAAATTAGCCTGGTGTGGTGATGTGCGCCTATAGTCCCAGCTACTCAGGAGGCTGAGGCAGGAGAATCGCTTGAACCCAGGAGGGGGAGGTTGCAGTGAGCCAAGATCGTGCCACTGCACTCCACCCTTTGCCACAGAGCGAGATTCCATCTCAAAAAAAAAAGGAAAAGTGGATGCATGGCCTTACCAAATAAAGCAAAGCTAGCCATGCTCATGGGCCTGGGCCCTGCCACAGCCCAACTTGGTGAGGGACAGGGGTGGGGTACGGGGTACAGTGGAGGTCAAAGGAACTAAGGACTGTGGCAGTGACCCAGAAAAACTGTGACCTGTGACCCAACGCATCCATCAAATGCCAAGAGGCACTTGGGGGAGAAAGCGGAGCCGGTGCTTAGGCACTAACTTTGGAGCAAAGAGTCATGGGAGAAAAAGCCACCCCATTAGAGAGACCACCCTAGCCTCCCCTCCACCCTGCACTCCTGATACTCCCAGATGGGATAGCGCTGATCTCCCAGCAACTGTGGCTGTAGCCCCTAACTCACATACTACTTTGTCCATTCTCCTGCAGGGGAAAACAGTGCACAGTTTCAACTCACAGAGTTTGGACAGGGCTTGCAGTGGGGAAGTGAAATTAAAGTGACTGTGTGTGAGGTGCCTTGGTTCGATTCAATGCATTGTTTTGGCTTCCGCATCTGAATGTATAGCGAATGGCTGTGTTTGTTACCTGCTTGCAGTTTTCCACCCCACAAAAGTGTCAGAGGTGCTCTCCCTTTCAGAGTTGGCAGCATATAGAAAGGTGCCAATGGGGCTGGGCGTGGTGGCTCACGCCTGTAATCCCAGCACTTTGGGAGGCTGAGGTGGGTGGATCACCTGAGGTCAGGAGTTCTAGACCAGCCTGACCAATATGATGAAACCCCATCTCTACTAAAAATACAAAAATTAGCTGGGCGTGGTGGCACATGCCTGTAATCCCAGCTACTCAGGAGGCTGAGGCAGGAGAATCACTTGAACCCAGGAGGCGGAGGTGGCAGTGAGCTGAGATCACAGCACTGCACTCTAGCCTGGACGACAGAGCAAGACTCTGTCTTAAAAAGAAAAAAAAAAAAGAAAAGAAAGAAAAAGAAAAGTGTCAATGGGGCATCACTCTGCCACCACCAGGACACCTGCCTCCCTGTCCCCTCCCAGATGGTCAGTAGAAGGGAAAAGGGAAGTCACTAAGAACATGGCTTTTTAAAAACAGAAAAGTAGCTAATAGCTTCCTACGGAACACTTAATTGAAACTGGAGTTCTTGTGATATTCCCATTTGGCACTGGGTCAACTCAGACTCAGTAACTAACAGGATGGAAAGGGCCCAACAAGCCTCACTTCCTAAGTGCAAAGGATCTATCTAGTCAAGAACACAGAAAGGTCCTAAATTTTCTTTACCCAGATCCTTTCTTTTTTTTTTTTTTTTTTTAATTTTGAGGCAGAGTCTAGCTTGCTCTGTCGCCAAAGGCTGCAGTGTAGTGACGCAATCTCAGCTCATTGCAACCTCTGCCTTCTGGGTTCAAGTGATTCTCCTGCCTCAGCCTCCTAAGTAGCTGGAATTACAGGCATGTGCTATCATGCCCAGCTAATTTTTGTATTTTTAGTAGAAACGGGGTTTCACCTTGTTGGCCAGGCTGGTCTCAAACTCCTGACCTCAGGCAATCTGCCTACCTCAGCCTCCCAAAGTGCTGGGATTACAGGCATGAGCCACCAGGCCCAGCCTACCCAGATCCTTTCTGAGGGGTGTATTTCAGTGAACAACTTTGAAGAGTGAAGAACCTAAGAAGACAGTTTAGGGCAGCCTCTTATAGGAATAAGGTGAATTTTGATCAAGGGAAGATGAAAGAATTGCGTCTCAATCTAAGTGAAAGTGTTTTTCTCATTCACTGCTTGCTACAAAGTGATGGGGTCCTCATGCTCACTATTGCTCAGTTGAACACAAACCCACTATCTGTGTAGCATCTATCTGGACCCTGCAGATTATCCTCTGGGACTTGGGGACAAGGGAACTAGCACAAGTATAATGATGCTTACACTATTTACTGTGCAATGAGTAATACGGTCTTTTGTCTCTCACCCTGAAGTTTCGTCTTCTGCCATTAGCCACACAACTATAACAGTCAAACTCATTAACTTGTAGGAAAGGCAGAACCTCAAAACAATCACAGTTCTTGATACTGGTTCCAGGAAGGGGTGGGAGGAAACAGCTGGCATTCACCAAAGTGAGTGATCACATTGACACGTCATTCCCTTAGGATCATTACTTTTTCTTTCTCTTTCTTTCTTTCTTTTTTTTTTTTTTTTTTGAAATTGTATAACTTATTTGATGATCAGCACTTAGTTCTTATTCACAGTGACTGTAGATTTCTGAAAGTGGCAACAGGGGCATAGGTAACCAATGCACAGAGCTTGTGTGGCGCATTTCTCAACAACCACATGTGGTGTGGGACATTCCTCATTCCTTTGGCCCAGAAAGCTTTGTGGAGCTTAGTATGAATGTGCATAATGGGAGTTCCCCTCTCCTTCAGGACAAATGTCTGGCCCTCTTTGAGTGCCCCAGGGGGCCTGCTTCTTGAAGTCCACTCTTCAGATGAGCTTATGAACGTTGATGGTTTAGTCTCTGATTACCACCTCACTGATGGCAGGCGGCCCATCTTGCCAGCCTACTATTCAGAAACCATTTTGCCAGGTGCAGACAGAAAGGACGATTGTAGGGGACTGGGTGAGAGGGAATGCAGAGATGGCAAGTACAACTTCTGAGTCACCTGGAGGGAGGAAAACAGGTGGGGCGTTTGCATGTTAAAAAGGGGCTATTTAAAGAGAGATTATTTCTACCACCCCTGAAAAATGAATATCACATAATGGAATTTCCGATTGCTCACAAGGTGGGTAGATGGGAGAAACATGCCATCCCTTCCTTTGCATGAGTGAGAGACCTGACCTATCTATCCCTCAAACAACATGGAGGTGGCCGTCATGGAAAGCAGTGGAGAGCAGGAGATAAGGCTTGGGCTGTGAATTTGGACTGATCTTGTTTTAATTCCTGCTTTTGTCATTAACACTGGGAACTAAATTATTTAGGGCCCCAGAACCTCATGTTTCTTCATCAGTACAATGGGAATATTGATACCAATCTCACATATTCATTGTCATGTGAATCACCTAGCCCTGAGCGGATGCCTTCATGTTGGGGTCCTCCCCCTTTCCCTCACCTCCTACTCTACCTAGAGAGGACATGCCTCCTGCCTCACAGCCCTCAGCAGTGACAGCCTCTATTCTTGCTGTCGGATTCATACCCACCTGTCTCCCACGCAGACCTGTGGGGGAATTTGCTCCGTATCAGCACAGAAGGTCTTTTCTTCTCATGCCCACATGTTGGGGAACTGCTCATTTGCCGGCTGCGTCTGGGAGAGGCTGGTGATCGTGACAAAGCCTGGCATGCAGGGACTTTCCCTGGTCTGGTGGCGGCAGCCCCTTGTCTTCAGCCTTCCTCCTGCAACTTCAGTTTCTGAGCCAAAAACCAGGCTGAGAAAAGCCTGACCTCCAGTTTCTACCCTGTTGTCACGGGTTGGAGTCACTTTCTGGGCCTCCAAAATTATTGCCTGATGGGAAAATATGTGCCCTTCAGTGCTTGTCCCAGCTCCATTGTCTTCCCCACCTTCTCCCCCACTATTCCTCCCCATCCAACTCCCTTCCAGCCAGAGCAGAGAGGCTGGGTCTTCAGGGAGAGGGCAGAAGGGCTTTCCGAGCTCCCTGAGTGCTTGTCCTCCTACCACAGCCCTCTTCTAGGCTTCTTTGAGTTATTGTTTAATTTTCACTAAGGTGTAAGTTCCTGGAGACTCTATTTTACTCACCTCTCCTCAATAATGCATAGTAAAGCACTCTGCATGTCACAGGCACTCTGTGACAATTTGACACTGGCGGCCTCACCTCAGCCCTGACTTTTGCTACTTTGGATCTGTTCCCAGGAAACACAGGCATGGAAGGGGCCTGGAGAGGTCATCTGTGTCCGAATAGGCAGCCGCAGCCAAGGGAGAGAAACTGACCTGCCCAAGGTGGGCAGCTGGCAATGGAAAGGGGCATGGAGGCAGGGACTGTCATGGCGCTCTGTTCTTTGAATTATATTGAATTACAATTTGCCTTGACAACTACTCAGTTGACTAGAATAAATCTTCCCAGAAACCACTGGCAACAACATCCACTAAATGGTATTTGCAGGAAGTGCACTAAAAGACATTCATCAGTGAAAAGAGAGACTCCAGCTGCCCAGAAAAGCCTGTGAAGTTTGCAAAAGGCAAGAGCAGAAAAAAAGTTACTTTGCCTTTTCTGTAAAATAAAGCTAAGTGCCAACTGGCATTAGCATTAGGCACTCCTTTAGGAGCCTCCTCTTTGGGGCCTCCTTCCTTTAGGCCAAAGAGAAGCATCAGAAGAAGCAAGAATGAATGTTTATAAGTTTTTCTCTCAAGTCTAAACAATGCTTTTTGTCCCCCAGGTTTCCTCTGCTTTCTTCACCTTTTTCGTGTTTCTTTTTCCCAGCAGAGATGGCCGTGAGGAGGAGTCCACACGCGTCTTCTCGGGACCATACCACCTCCATTTGGTGTTAGAACAGGTTTGAAATTTCTTTGTTTTGGTTTTATTCCATGGTACTTTTTCCATAAGTAGTGGTTTCTATTAAATCCATAAAACAGTCATTTGCAGATGGTCTGGCATCTTTTTCTTTGTCGTAAAATATTATATGCTACTAACAAGGTTAACTCCATCCACTTGATATTTTCATTGGGTATATATATTTTAACTCTGAGTCATAAGAAAATAATATGGCAGACAAAATATACATTTCCTGAGGCAATGAGAAGGAAGATTTGAAACACACATTTCACTGAGTTAGGCCTGCCCATGACAGATATTAATAATTTCCTTTTGTAGACAATTCGAAGCCCATTTCTATGAATGTATTATATAACCCTGCAATTTTAATCCTGGAAAAAATGTCAGAATTAATCCCTTTCCATCATCTAATTTTTCAGAAGAAATTGAGGCTTGGATGTGAAATTAATGGCCTGAAACCTCCTAGAAGTTTCAGAGGTGGGACAAGAAATAAAATTTCTTCATTTTTTGTAGGGACATGGATGAATCTGGAGAACATCATTCTCAGCAAACTGACACAAGAACAGAAAATGAAATACCACATATTCTCACTCATAGGTGGGTGATAAAACATGAGAACACGTGGACACAGGGAAGGGAGTACCAAACACTGGGGTCTATTGGGGAAAAGAGGGGAGGGACAGCATGGGGGATGGGGGGAGCTGGGGAGGGATAGCCTGGGGAGAAATGCCAAATGTGGGTGAAGGGGAGGAAGGCAGCAAAACACACTGCCATGTGTGTACCTATTGCAAATGTCTTGCATGTTCTGCACATGTACCCCAAAACCTAAAATGCAATAAAAAAATTCTTCATTTTTAAGTGAGTTGTCTCTGAAAAAAATAAAACAAAGTATTGCTCAGTAGCAATGTACTACTAATGCCTTCTTCTAGTAAGCCCTCACTGAATATGTCTTTTGAGTACATGATTCATGGAAATTGTCAAAAATCACCAGTGATAAATAAATAAATGAAGGAGAAGAGACAAATCTCCCATGTAGATGAGTTCAAAGTAATTTACATAGATACTCTATTATGAAGGAGGTGAAGCAAAACCCCTTACCTAAATGTGGGCTGCCCATAGTGACTTCTTCCCAACGACCAGAGTATGGAAAGGGGGTGGGGGGCTGACTCCACAGTAGAGAAACCTGACCAATGGCCCCTCTGCCAGGTGATGAAGGTCAACATCAACAGCACTGAGTCATTTGGTAGTCTGTACCCTGGATTTATTTGATGAGAATGGTACTCCACGTCTGGGGCCTTCCTTTCAAAAACCCGTAACCCCAGTCCAATCATAAGAAACACATCAGGAAAATCTCAACTGAAGGACATGCTGCAATATGCTTCACCAGCACTCCTCAAAACTCCCCCAAATAAGAAAGGTCTGAGAGACCGTCGCAGCCAAAAAGAGCTTAAGAGGCACAATTAAGTGTAATGAGGGATCCTGGGACAGAAAAAGGACATCAGGGGAAAACTTAAAAATCTGAATAAAGAATGGACTTTAATATAATATATATTGGTTTATTAATTGTGACAAATATGCATACTAATATAAGATTAATAACAGGGAAAACTGGAATAGGGTAAATGGGAATTCTCTGTACTTTCTTCTCAGTTTTCCTGTGAATCTCAAACTGTTCTAAAAAATATAGACTTTTTTTTTAAGGGGATGGAGTTTGCTCTGTCACCCAGGCTGGACTGCAATGGCGTGATCTTGGCTCATGGGTTTAAGCAATCCTCTCATCTCCGCCTCCCAAGTAGCTGGGACTCCAGGCATGCACCACCACACCCAGCTAAATTTTTCCTTTTTTGTATTTCTAGTAGAGCTGGGGTTTCACCATGTTAGCCAGGCTGGTCTTGGATTCCTGACCTCAAGTGATCTGCCCACCTCCACCTCCCAAAGTGCTGGGATTACAGGTGTGAGCTACTGCACGTGGCCTAAGGATTATTTTTTTCAATCTCTGGTAAAGGGGTCAAGGGTTTTCTGTTGTAACCTGTTGACCTACTGGCTTGCCACAATATGTCCTTTTCCTCCACCTATCCCACCTGCAAATGTACATCTCAAGCCTTTCTTAACAAGAAAGGGAATAGAAGTCACTATGCTCTAACTTTGCTAGCGCCTTTCCCACCCTAATATCTGGGCAGTTTGTTCACACAAACCCTCAAGAAGGGACTATAGACTAAGAAAACTAGAATGTATGATGCATGGGATTTTTGTCTGTTGTGCTCACTGGCTTTTCCCAAGTTCACAAAAAAAGTGTGTGGCATATGGTAGAAGATCAATAAATATTTGTAAAATAAGTGGGAGTCTTAAGTAAGAAATTATCTTTTAAAAAGATATCTGTTGTATGAAATGTGGTCTAAAATGCTATAACTGAACAATTATTATTGGTCCACTAAAAATACAGAAAATAAAAACCAAAACGCTTTAACTGATTTTCAACAGAAATCTATCATAGCCTGTATACTCAAATGAGTGTAAGCTCTCCAAATTAGTACTCCTGGCAGGCATACACTTCATTCAATCCTGATGTTGCTACTCCAGTTAATTTTAGAATTGTTCACTTAAAATTTTTTATCACAGACATGTAAAATGAGACCTTCGTGATCAAGGCCTCCAACAATTTCCTCTAAACAACTTTCCTCGAGACAAATGTCCTCTTGTTTGAAACCTTCCCCTTTCCACTCCCACTCCTCATCCATCTAAGAAATTCCAATTCCTCCATAAAATCCTAGCTTCAAAGACATATTCCCTGAAAACCTTTTTCTTAGTCGTATCACCACCTCCCTGAGAGAGAATTCATCATTTTTTGGTTTTGCATTTGTTCTCTATTTTTACCCTTATCATGAGCTGTGTTTATGTGTTTATCTCGTGGTTCTCTGTATTAGCCTGTGAGCTTCTCAAAGGCAGGAGCCTTGTATCATTCATCTCCATATCTGCAGCTGCCCACAGAGCTGCTGGCTCAATAAGTGCCAGTTAAATTGAATGGGATGGAACAGAACTGTAATTAAGTCCAAAGTCATAAGCCATAGTCCTTTTAATAATCTCAGTGGTGGCAAATCTCAATGCTTTGAGACTGGATATGTGATCAAAAAAGATCCAAGTCATTTAGTACCTACTT